TACAGGATTGCCATAATGTTGCCATTTCATAACCTGTCAAAACCCACTGGTAGCCATTTTGTTTGGAATGCCTAATAGTAAACCGATTACAATCTTTCCATTTAAAATATTTTGATAGTTATGTCATTTCTGCTCTCTCCGGAAATACATGTCAACTTTTTCATTTTAAATGGGACACCTCTATTTTTATTCTAGATTTTGATAAAGGTATTTCCAACCTTTCGTAGAGCAGCACTTCTATTTTTTCAGAGGAACCTTTATAACCAAAAATGAGTTATTAACAGTTGTTAAAAATATAAAAACAAAAACATGGCGCATAGAATAGAAAAAAGACAGAAGTGCGATATTTGCGTGGGCACACGAATAAAGACGAATAAACGAATAAATCACTACGAATATGTTTTTCACATTTAATTGTCGGATGATTCAATTCACCACTATTTATATGTACTTTTTCTTTATTTTATTGATCCCTTAAATAAATCCCCAAACCCCCTTTGCGGATCCCTGGTGTGCCGCGGAACCTAGGTTGAGAAACACTGCGATAGAATATGAAATGTTAGGGGTCACCTTGTATAAATAAATTATGTAGCTAAAATTATTGCTAATTTATAACTCTTGCAATTTAAGCTGCATATTTAATAAAAAATATTACGTTTATCCTAAAAATTGTTAATTTAATATTCTGTTTTTTATATTATAGAGAAATAAAGATAAACTTCACTTATTTTTTGGTTGTAGAATATGATGAAATGAAAAAAAAATATGTAGGTACTTATCTATTTAAATAATGAAAACATTAATGTATTGTTAAATCAAAATTTAAACATATTTTTTTTTCTCACCCCCGTATACCTAGTAAAAGATATTTTAATGTCATATACCTACTATTTAATTACTACCTTCTTTATCATAATTCAATTAAAAAACTTCAAACTGTAACTTTACCCAATAATAATTATTATTTTAATTTCCTCAATCTATTTTTTTTTTCTCAAAAATATTTTTCATAATTTAGAAATTTTAGATGTAGCTGTAGAACTATCAAAATATTTTAGACAGAAGAATTATAACCAATTACCTATTTACCAATTTTTAAAAAATAGTCTCTTAATGCCTAAAGGTATTAAAAGAATTTGAGACAAATCCCATCAAATTGTTGTGCATAAACATACCAAATACAGTTGGAATTGATTTAGAGGATACCTACCTATCTTAAAATTGTAACTGTATTTTTATAATCTTATTAAATCAGCCTATAAAATGTTTATCCATTTTAGACTTCTAGAAAAAAAATTATTCCATTCCTTAATTTACTAAAATTAAATGATTTTAAAAATGTTCCAATAAATGATAGGTAGAGCCATCTATTTTTCAATGGCACAAACAACAAAACATTAAAATATATGTACTAAACAGAAAACGTTTTATTTTAAGAATAGAGGTAATGACGAACAAATAGATATATTTAAAGTACTAAATTAAACTGATAATAAATAGAATATTATAATTAAAAAAGGTTTTTTAATTTAATATATTATACAATAAATTAAACTCTAGCAACATCATTGTATAAAGAACTTTAAACAATGGCAACATATAGGGAAAATAGCGACATCTGGGTACGGGAATCCGTGGACACCGACAAAGTTATTCAATATTTGACATTTTCTGTAGTAAGGTACGGTAAGGTTTATACCTCCATGAGATATAATACCCGAAGTAAAGCAACTGACTAATAGATGGCGGTGATAAACAAAAAAATAATCTCACTTCATAATTTATTTTGTATAAAGAAAATATTATCTAATCCTACCAGTGGCGGCTCGTACCTTACATGGTACCTTAGCACACAGGTGGTGGGGCCTGGCCAGTGTATCACGCAGGTGCCTCGCCGGAGTAGAAAAATTTTTGGAGGTCACGACCAAATTTTGACCCAAAAGTCGTTAAAAAACACGCCTCAGGTAATGTTTTTTTTATTTAAAAGTTGAGTCGAGTATTCGCACCATTTATACAAAATAATGAACAACATAAAATTAGTACCGAATTCGAGAAACTCGTATCATAACAAAAACGAGAAATGATTAAACTTGGAACGAAAGACCGAAAGCCGATAGTAGTATTAGGACGTAGAATTTTTTGGTTTGTGAAGCATTGGCATTACTTAAGTTAAACCATGTGATGATTTTCACAAGCCTTGATTTTTAAAACCATTCTATATCGCCTTTTGATTAGGGTTTAAACACTTGTTCGAGCAATTTATCCAATAATAATTGGCCCCTTTGCCTCTTAAGCCTGCTCATGTAAAATATTTGGGCTCCTTACTTCGCCTATTTATATTCTATTAATAAACGACAAAAGGATGAGTATTGCAACTATGTTAAAAGAAATAAATTGGCTTTCAGTTCAGAATTATGTTTAGTACATGATTGATTTATTTATAAAATAAAAATGACAGTACTATGGCATCAGATCTATTAGAAAAAATTCAATATAATTCGCAATATCACAACTATAATACAAGAAACCAATATGACTTTCATGTACGGCAAGCCATCACTAAAAGTTCCCAAAATACAATTTTTATTAAAAATTTAAAAAATTTAATAGACTGCCCACAGAAATTAAAAAAAAAACCAATAAATGTATTCAAAAGTAACCTCAAACAATACTTGATAAATAAACAGGACGGATATACTTTCTTGTGATAATACTCTTTAAACCTGCCCTTTTTAAGTATTTCCCTTAATTTATTGTTATTTTATCCCTCGTTTTACCAGAATTTATTATAAATTATTTCTGTTTTGAGATCATGTACTTTATTTTAAAAAATTACTTGATGTTATATTAATACTACTTACTGTTTAAATTATTAATAGTTTTGGGAAGATAGGTTATAGCAACTTATAGCCACAAAACTATTTTTGTGTTAAAGTAGATCCATAAAGAGCAATGTAATTTACAACTTTATAATTAAAATTAACAACACAACAAAATACCTCGGTATCATAAATGATCCAAATTTGAAATGGGCATTATATCCTGCCTCTCTTTTATATATTTGCGACCCGACGATAAAACCACAAAATTATTTTTGTGTTAAAGTAGATCCATAGAAAGCAATGTAATTAACAAGGGCATTCTTTCAATATACAATATACAAATAAATTACAACTTTTTAATTAAAATGAAAAACACAAAAAAATACCTCGGTATCATAATTAATCAAAATTTGAAATGGGTTGATCACATTACGTCATTAAAATATCAAGGTAAGAAGATTAATTTTTAAATTTTATGAATTGAGGAAATTTATGACTAGGAGTTTACTAATTATTATTTACAATTCGCTGGTTGAATATATAATCCAAAATGGTATAATTCACACATCACAGTTGACATCTTGATACTTGACAGGCACAGCCAAGCATTATTCTGATTTTTGTCAAATAAAATGGCCGGTTAATTAATCTATGGGGTTGCGACAGAGAGCCAGTAAATTTGATGAAGATGTTTTTGTGGCTAGGGGCGAAATAGTAGTACGCTTAAGTTAGCACCACCATAAAAAAGTCATTTTTAAGAAACTGCTTATAAATTTTTCATAAATTGGCAGTTTTGGCGACATATTTCGAATAAAAATAATCTTCAAAATGGCTATGGTTGCAAGTATGAAGGTCGCAACCCGCCGTAAAAATTTTACCTTTACTATCAACAGCTGTTGTTTCACAGGTCGTTAGAGAATGTTTGCAATTTATGAAATGTTAAGAATGTTAGGAATTTTGACGTTAGAAATAATTGGAATTTCTAAAAATTTTTTTTACACTATTTTATTGCACATTTTACTGTTTTGAAGGATATGCAGGATTTTGGCAACGCTGCCTGCGCACGCGTTATGGCTGTTTGGTAACTAGATTTGACTTTTGAAATGTTTTGAACAAAAATTTTACAGAATTTTTTAATTTTATTTCCCAAATATTGGAACTGACGTAGGTTGGAATTTCAAAAAGAATTTAATCATATTTTAGTCTATTTTAGTTTTCATTAAACAATAGTAATAAATTGAATTGTAGTAATGACGCAACGGTCAAGGCAACGGCATAAAACAAAATAAAATAGTGTTAGGAAAGTTTTGTCCAAGGGCATGCGCGCTAAATAGATTTTCAATAAAATAATAAAACGTGTAGTTGGACAAGGTTTTATTAAATCATAATATTAAAGTACAGGGTCAAGAAAGATCAACAAGAGCATTCTTGGAAAATAACAAGTTAATTTTCAGGGGGTTCCTTTTGGTTTTTGTTGACTAGCGGTCATAATCATTCGTACTAAGTGAATCCCTTTTTTTTTGGTTTGGGAAACTAAAATCACGGGTTGGTCACGCGAAATCGCGGTTAGTTTTTTTGTAAAGCCACACCGTGGGAAAAGTAACGTGTGCCTCAGCCAGCCCTGCAGCCTAACGGATTAAAATATAATGCTCATGTAAGTAAATAGTTTTGAGTAGTAATATTTAATTTTGTGTAGTCAGCAAAGACTACTGAATTACTGAAGCAATACTAGTTGTTTCTATATTTTTCAAATAAATCATAGTTGTTTTACGCTTGTTTCAATTTTTTTGGTTAACGAAAACTCACGATCATTAAAAGGCGGGGGTATTAGCTTAGTCAGATCTTTGAGAGAGGGGCATACTGCCAAAGGGAATAGTCCCTGTAGGGCACACCCTTTCCCCGCCCTCTGAATCATCGTCAGGAAGTTAGGGTTCCTTAGGCCCATCCCGTCTGAACTAAACCCCTTGGCCGTGTGTTATCTAGAAGCCAATTTAAATACAAATTGCGCCCCTCTATATAACCCGTGGTTACTGCTAAGAGTGGACTTTAGGGCTTTTATTTGCTGCGATTTAGGTTAGTGCAAAAGGAAGCAAAAGGATGCTTTTTATTGCCATTCAAGTTTGGCAATTATGACTTGTATTCTCATTTCAATATTATCAAAGGGTAAATAAAAAGCAGTTCAACTGTAGAAAGTCAGTCTTTATTCTACAAAAAGTTTAATAAATAAAAATGTAAAAAATGCAAATAAAATAGGTAAGGTAATAAAACTAAATGCAAAAGTGAATCATTTGTAACATGCCTCGGAAACGCTAGCGCCATCTATTCGAAAATTTCGATACGAACCACCGAAACTTACTAAAAGACCGCAAAAGCGTTTCCAACAAAAAATTATTATTATCTACGATTAAGTATATTAACTAAACTCCATAAAATCTAACACTAAAATAAAACTCTTTTTTTTTATTAAGGAATAAACGATAAATCATAGGGAAAAGGACTAGTCGAAACACTCGAGAGCATGTCACAAAGAATAAACTTCACTCGTTTTTAATGCGGTTAAAACTAGTATTTATGACTTGTATTTAATAAATAAGTAGCCAAAATAACGTTTTTCTGAATAAATTTCAATTACTGGTTCAATAATTAAAGTTTCATTAAAACTGGCAACGTTGTCGAAGAAGTTGACAGCTAAACTTATACTTAATGTAGTTTTTATTATTAGAAATCGTCAATAACAAAAGGATTAATAATATTAAAAAACTAATGAGGAAAACGCAATTTAATCAAGGATAATGTCGAAAGTCTTTAAATTTGAGCCTTTATTTGAAAAAAAGCATGAAAAAAAAGCAATTATCAATGAACAATCGATTTCAATAGTAAAACATTTATATTGCCTAAAATAGAAACATTATTTCAAAAAAATCGATACAATAAACCCAAAATAATATCTTTTAACGTATATTATTAAAATATATTCAGAAAAACGTATTTTTAGTCTGTACTATCTATTATTATTCTTTTTTCTTTTCAAATTTGTCAGTTAACGAGGCGCTTGCAAACGATGTCAACAGTTAAAATCATCGGCAGCTGGTTCTTCGTCTGCTTCATATTCGTCATCAGCCGTAGCTTCCTGATATTGTTGGTACTCTGAAACTAAGTCGTTCATGTTCGATTCGGCTTCTGTAAATTCCATTTCGTCCATGCCTTCACCTGTGTACCTGCAAGCCAAAAATATGTATAATCATATAACACTAATACATGCCTAATAGTTGATTACAATCGGCAACGTAGCCATAAACTGTCAAGCCTTACTCTATCTATAGTTATTATTTTTTATTTTAATAATTCTTGTGTTTTAAATAAATCAAGATAACAAGTTCTAATGCATTTCAAAGTAATTGCACACTTAAATCAATTTTGACTTAATTAATTCAAATATGTTTTCTCCAAGACCATAATAAATGAGCTTGTTTAACAAAGTTTTCTGATAAACAGTATCAAATGTTTTGGTCGAACCTTTGACCATGTGGAATGTGATGAGTCGGCAGGTCAATGTTCTGTAACTTCTCCATCCCCTACAGGAGTCTTGTAAGGAACGAACAAGACTTTCCCAGTTTCTTCTTCAACGGTTGATGTCTGTTGTCTGCAAGAACTTGTTTTGTTATTGAATTTTCTCTTAGCTGTAGTACATTCCTTGGAGTGGTAGCTGGATTGGGAATGTTCCTTGGAGAGACATCATTTCTATGATGGAGCAGTGGGTTGGCTGTGAGATTTTACTTTAGTTTTCTGTTACTTGATATTCTTCTTATGAACTGAAGTTGTATGTGTTTCGACTGTCACAAAGCTGTCGTTTTGGACTATTTTCGGGGTAAATCTAGGAAGGAGTTTGTTTCGTTTAAGGGTCCTCCTTGAGTAGATTTTGGAGTTTGGCTTGTAAGTAATAGGTGTGTGTCTTGTTTCGTTTCTTTTATCTATGTTGGCTTTCTTGTTGAAGTATATATGTTCATTAATTTCTTTGTAAATTTCTTTGGTTTTCTGTCGGTTTTGTTCTACGTAATTGTTTAATAACATTTTGTTGATTTCCATGTTCAAAAGGGTCTCTCGTATCTAAATGTCAATTTAATACTTCGATAGGTTTCAACTTTAGGTTGTCGAGGCCTATAAGACCATCAAATGTCTTGTGGAATTTAAAAAGGTAAAATTTTAAACTGTTATTTGAAGAGAACTCGGGGAAAGAAGGTATTTCGTCACTGTAATTTTATGCATAATTTTGGAAAATGGAACTGACGACAAATGGTTCATATTTGATGTAGTTTTGGAAGGATTTGGTTGATCCGGTGTCTATAAGGAGTTTAAGAGGGGGTTCAGAAATTTCGTTAAAAGGGAGTTCTTTTTTATCGGAGAGATAGTGGAGTTCGATTATGTTTCGGGGTTTACTCTTTGGTCTTCTTGAAAATTTTCCTCTTCTTCAAATTGGTATCCTTATTCGCATGCAGGCCGTTCTTCTGTGAACAAATCTGGGTTACCATTTTCTTCCAAAGGATTTTCGTCATATTATTCAATGTTATAAAGTTCTTCGAACGTACATTTTGGTTAGGATTGTTGGGGCCTTGGGTTCATTGGTCAACTTCTATTGGTTGCTGTTATTGATATACTCTTAGGTGTTGGTTTGGGTTGTCTCGAGGGCCCGAGGGTTTGTATATCTCATCATTAGTGTCGCCATAGATTGCAGTTGTTTGAAAACTTGCTGCTGCCATGGTAGTGGTGCTGCTTGGGTAGGTTGAAATTGTGGTGGTTGTGTATAGGCTGGCTGTTGTTGGTGAATATGTTGCCTTGGAGTTTGGACGTTGTAGGTTGGTCTTTCATTTTTAAGGTGTTGTATTCTGATGGTAGCTTTTCTGGGCATACCTAATATTATTTTCTTCCTGAATGTATTGAATGGCTGCGGTTAGGTTGGTTGGCCTCATTGCTCTTATTGTAGACCCCATAGGTTCTCGAAGTCCTGCCAAAAAGGTAGTTAAGGCTTGTTGGCGAAAGAATTCCTGTTTGCTTCTTTTTATTTCTGAACTCTGGGTATGTACTTCAATGTAGTTTGATATGCAGTTTAGAATACCCATGAGTTTCTCGTAAAACTGATTTGGCGATTCATTTGGACCTTATTTCATGTTTACTAGATCTCTTGTTAGGGTGTTTTCATTACGTTGATCCCCAAAGTTTTGGATGAGCGTATTCTTAATGTCTTCCCAGCTTTCGCAAATGCATATTGATATAATCTCTTTTACTTTTTCCGTTAGTTTGCTGGTTATCCCATGGAGTAAAAACTGGTTTTGGATGTTGGCCAAGTTGCTTCGATCGTAGTAATGGTTTAGAAGTAGGGTGGATACTTTGATAAATTCGTACAGCTCGTTTGGATTCCCATCGAAATTTGGGAGGATGCACAGGTTCTTGACATCGAATGGTGGTACAACCATATTGGTGGTAGTAGAAACGTCGGTGTTGGTTAGTGTCTCGTCTAGGTTTGAATTGGAAACACTTAAGGAATTACGTTTTTGTAGTAAGTCTAATTCTTCTGCACTTGAGTTACAACTTCGTGTAGGAGTGTCTAAATCTAAGTTTTCGTCTGAGTCTGACATATATTGCTTACAAGATGCAGATGATGCGGTATTGCATTCCTGGAATCTTGGTTTACTTCCTAGGGTAAACTTCGCTTTGGTTTTCCCTTGGAGGTGGGTTCTTGATTTGGATAGTGAATAAACGCTTTAAAACGACGAGAATCTTCTAAAGGACTCTTCCACTATCCTACTGACTGCGCCAATTACGAGTTTTGACTTTCAAACTCACTTTTTAAAAACTAATTTTATTTTTGAAAATAATTTTAATGATTTTATAACATAAATACAAAGATATATCAGACTCAAAAAATAATATTGATTGGCAATCTATTTATACTAAAAATAAATGCTGACATCGGTGGACATTGGCCGGCCGTGGTTTCGTCGCTAAACCTTTGACCATGTGGAATGTGATGAGTCGGCAGGTCACTGTTCTGTAACTAGTGGCTTTCTATAATTTGCGGACTTATTAATTAGATTTTCTAATTTATTAATACGTTAATTATTAGCTTCCATGATCAACATTAAACTATTACATACATTTTCTAAATTTTGTATTATATTTTCTAATATTTTAGTTTCTAAATGCTCATTTGCTGGTAGTTCCAACTTTTTCAAAAGTTCTGTGAAGTCGTAGTCGAAAGGATTAATCTTATTTTCATAACGTTACTTTCATATCCGAAGCAGTCCCACTTGGTGTAATTCCAAAGTGAACAAGTATTTTGCTTAACTGCTTCTTTGTCAAATTCTGCAGACATTTGACCATGCTTAATATGTAGTATTTTTCCAGTCGGGGTCACCAGTTGTAGTAGTCATACAATTTATAGATTTTCGTAATCTTTATTACTGACAACCGTTTTTTGATTAGTCATCAAAGTCAAAAATAATATCCTACAGGGTGAAATTAAAAAGTATGATATTGAAATCACCACAATCGCGTTATTTATACTGCTGGTCAAATCGAATATTGCCTGCTCGGCAGATTTACCACGTCTAACGCAGTATTCTTTCTCGAAAAGAATATTTGTATCTATAAAAAAAACCATTTGACATTGAAGATTACTTACCAATGCAAGAAAGCTTTCCTCCTGAACATGGCTGCGAATTGCTCGGAGATTCTTTTGAACAACTCTTGTATGGCCGTCGTGTTTCCTATGAACGTCGAAGACATTTTCAAACCCACGGGTGGGATATCACAAACGGCTGTTTTGACGTTATTCGGGATCCATTCCACGAAGTAGCTGCTGTTCTTATTTTGGACTGCCAACATTTGCTCGTCCACCTCCTTCATCGACATCCGGCCTAGAAAATAATACAAACAATACCTATTTGTTCATTTAAAAATGAGAAAATCTAGATCTACATAAATATATATAAAAAGCAGATTAGAAAAAGTTGAGAATCAGAATATAAAACTTCAATTTGGTAAATCTATATATTGTTCTATTTAAAACTGATTATTATCGTTACCTCTAAATACTGCAGCAACCGTCAGATACCTTCCATGTCTTGGATCACAGGCGGCCATCATATTCTTTGAATCGAACATTTGTTGCGTCAATTCTGGTACCGTTAAAGCCCTATACTGTTGGTTGCCCCTAGACGTCAAAGGAGCGAATCCTGGCATGAAGAAATGAAGACGTGGGAAAGGTACCATGTTAACAGCCAATTTCCTGAGGTCTGCGTTTAATTGTCCTGGGAAACGAAGACATGTAGTTACACCGGACATGGTCAGTGATACCAGATGGTTCAAGTCGCCGTAACTTGGATTAGGTACCTGAGAAATAAAAGATGTACTATAGGAACGAGCTGGATTACATAAATGGGTGAAATATGGGATAACGTAAAAGAGGTAAATAATTCAGTGGTTATTTAAGACATACTCGAAAAATTAAGGATCTTTTATTCGCGATATTCTTAAACATAAACATTTTTTTATATTAAAAATAGTTTCTTTAATAGTCTAAATCTATTTACAATTATTTAACACAATGTATAACATTTTTGTCATCGCCAAACAAAAGTATCTCCAAATATTTAAGAATAGAAAGTATTCATTAATAAATAGTAAAAATAATTGTGGTCCTAGATTGGAACCCTGGGGAAAGTTACATTTTACCCTTTTTAATTTCAAACAGCATATATTTGTCTCAAATTACCATATTACCCTATGGACCCATTATTGAATTATATTAACATTGCTTATGCTGAAACTTAATTCAGTATTCCACATGAAAACATAATGCTAATAAACAGCGTATTTTTCCTGAATAAATTCAATTATAATGTGAAAGAAAGTTTTATTTAGGAAACCATACAATAATTAATATCGATTTGGCTTGGAAAAAGTCGTGTTTGCAGTACAATTTTATTTAGATTAGGAACATTATGAGTAAAAATATTACAAAGGAAACTTCAGTATCATTAATAGGTAATTCTTTGAAATACTAACTCATGAGTATGACACAAACGACTTCATAAAAAACCGAGATAAGCATTAAGAAGATTAGACGAATTTAATAATTAAATCAAAGTTATGAAAGTTATGATAAAGTGGCGCCAACAGTATTTTTAATTTTAATGTGGCAAATTTATGATTTAACAAAGATTTACTTAAAAATTGATAAAAAAGAATGAAAATAGTGGTAGTAATTTTGTAACTTAAATTGTACCTAATATAAAAACGCTGTTATACATTTTCAAACAAATTTACTTTTATAGTGTCCATAATTTCCAAGAAAAAAATGTTTTCAGACTCTTAATATTTTACTCATTACTCATGAATTATTGATACTATTTTTCTTATTAACCAAAATTATGGAAAGCGTGGTTCTAGTTCGCTCTATCTCTGTAAGCTCTGATGTACAAACAATCTTTATTATTTTGTTTACAAGTGATGATCTTATGAATGTTACGGATGTCAAGGATGTCAAGGATGTTAAGAACGTTAAAAATGTTAAGCACGTTAAAAATGTTACGGATGTTAAGGATGTTAAGGATATTAATGATGTTATGTTATGGATGTTAAGGATGTTTTGGATGTTTTGGATGTTAGGGATGTTAATGATATTAAAGATATTAAAAATGTTAAGGATGTTACAAATGTTAAGGATGCTCATTATCTATCCCTTCTATATTTTTATCTTAATGACGTAAATTAACTCCTTTTTTTATCATTTAAATTGAAGTGAAAAATCTAGAAAACAAATATTTATTGCCTATATTTATTTTAGTAGAATTAAATAAATAAAGAACGGAATTTTGAGATAACTTGTATATAAATTCTTCAGAGTTGAATTTAAACAATGTAATAAGAAGTATGTGTCTACGTCAGAATGAAATTATTGTAGTTACACAAACATAATGACGCATTCAATACCTCTATATTATAATCCAATTAATGTGATTAAAGAAACGTTCCATTATGTTATATTAAAACATCATTTAGATTGTTTTGTTTGATAATCAAAACTCTACAAGAATTTTTTTATATACATGTGGTATTATAAGAATAAGAAATTAAAGTATTGACTATTTTTTAACAGCAGAATTCATAGTTTTTATTATCTGTGCTCTAAGTAGTCTTTATTTCAAAATAAATTTGAATATTTGAATCCAACTGATAGTGGGTTGTCACTTTCTACTCATATCTGTATTCCTCTTGCCAAATTAAAGAATGAACAACAAACAAATGTGTCTAAAGTAGTCTATGAATGACAAAGATACGAGTCATGTACGTGATAACTACACACGGTTCTAAATTAAATTCAAACTCCCTCTCAATAAGAAGAGTATTGTACGCACCAACATAAGTGATTTTTTTCATATAATGTAATAGAATACAATAAAAAAAATGTATATTCTTACCTTCAAAGTTCTAAAGCAAATATCGTACAAGGCTTCATTGTCTATACAGTATGTTTCATCGGTATTTTCTACAAGTTGATGTACAGATAAGGTGGCATTATATGGTTCAACGACTGTATCAGATACTTTAGGACTTGGCATTACCGAGTAAGTGTTCATTATTCTGTCTGGATATTCCTCTCTGATCTTAGAAATCAATAAAGTTCCTAAAAAATAAAATAGTATGAGTATCAAGTTAAAGACCCTAACATTATCTGTTACTGTCTGTTATATTGTCTGTTATATTGTCTGTTATATTGTCTGTTATATTGTCTGTTATATTGTCTGCTATATTGTCTGTTATATTGTCTGTTATATTGTCTGTTATATTGTCTGTTATATTGTCTGTTATATTGTCTGTTATATTGTCTGTTATGTTGTCTGTTATATTGTCTGTTATATTGTCTGTTATATTGTCTGTTATATTGTCTGTTATATTGTCTGTTATATTGTCTGTTATATTGTCTGTTATATTGTCTTTTAGATTATCTGTTATATTGTATTTTATATTGCTGTGATATTATCTGTTATATTGTCTGTTGTATTATCCGTTATATTGTTTGTTATATCGTCTGTTACAACGTCTATTATATCGCTTAATATATCGTCTGTTAGCTCGTTTGTTATGTCGTGTTATATCGTTTGTTATATTATCTGTTTTATCGTGTGTTATATTGTTTGCTAGTGTCTGTTATTTTCTGTAATTGTCTGTTATTGTATATTATTGTCTATGATCGTCTATTATTCTTTGTTTTCGTATATAATCATCGGTTATCATCTGTCACCATCTATCATTGTCTGTTATTATCTGTTATTGTCTGTTATTGTCCTGTATTGTTTGTTATTGTTTGTTATTGTTTGTTATTGTTTGTTATTGTTTGTTATTGTTTGTTATTGTTTGTTATTGTCTGGTATTGTCTGTTATTGTCTGTTATTGTCTGTTATTGTCTGTTATTGTCTGTTATTGTCTGTTATTGTCTGTTATTGTCTGTTATTGTCTGTTATTGTCTGTTATTGTCTGTTATTGTCTGTTATTGTCTGTTATTGTCTGTTATTGTCTGTTATTGTCTGTTATTGTCTGTTATTGTCTGTTATTGTCTGTTATTGTCTGTTATTGTCTGTTATTGTCTGTTATTGTCTGTTATTGTCTGTTATTGTCTGTTATTGTCTGTTATTGTCTGTTATTGTCTGTTATTGTCTGTTATTGTCTGGTATTGTCTGTTATTGTCTGTTATTGTCTGTTATTGTCTGTTATTGTCTGTTATTGTCTGTTATTGTCTGTTATTGTCTGTTATTGTCTGTTATTGTCTGGTATTGTCTGGTATTGTCTGTTATTGCCCGTTATTGCTTATTATTGCCTTGTAATGTCTGTTATGGTCTGTTATTGCTTATTATTGTATGTTATTTTTGAAATCATTTAAATACTTACCCATTCCTGACCCAGTACCGCCGCCAAGTGAATGTGTCAATTGGAACCCTTGTAAACAATCACAATTTTCGGCTTCTTTCCTTACAACGTCTAGTACGGCGTCCACCAGTTCAGCGCCTTCCGTGTAATGACCTTTGGCCCAATTGTTCCCGGCTCCTGATTGGCCGAAAACGAAATTGTCGGGTCTGAAGAGTTTTCCGTATACGCCGGATCGTACCGCGTCCATGGTACCGGGTTCCAAGTCGAGCAGAATCGCTCTAGGTACGTATTTTCCTCCATTGCTCGATGAAGCGACTGCAAAGGAAACAGAAATATTCAAATTTTAAATGATTTTCTAATGGGACTGTGGCACAGTACAAAATGGCATTTAAGCCGGGAAGTGCCGTAAATCGGAATATAAAAATATACCTGTCAATTAATTTTGAGAAATAACCTAACTTTTGTATATTTTAAATATGTCAAATTTGACAGGTGCAGTCGATCTACAGAAAAAATCGTTTATGCACTCTAAAAATGGATTTTATTTGCTGCACTAGTTTCACACTCGACACTGTATTCGAACTGTCATACTTGTCAAAAGTATGTGTATGCAGAAAACTTACACTTTGTGCAACAAATAAAATCCACTATAGAATGACACTTTATATAGCATTATGGCTTTATAATGCACACTACAATGATAGTACATTGATAATTTGATTTTGTAATGAAGCATCAGAAACTTCTTCAACAGAAATTTCAACAGAAACTTCAACAGAAACTTCAACAGAAACTTCAACAGAAACTTCAACATAAACTTTAACCGAAACTTCAACAGAAACTTCAACAGAAACATCAACAGAAACTTCAACAGAAATTTTAACAAAAACTTCAACAGAAACTTTAACAGAACCACAAACACAAACGAATAGAAATTGCAATTTTAAAAAGACTACTTGAACGAAAAATACTTTTGATAGACACTGTAGATCAGTTCTGCGATATTTCAAATTGAAAATGTTTATTTAAAGTGATCGCTTGGATTATTTCATGGCGCTAAAAGTGGTAACTCAAGTAGTAGAGGTATCAAATTCCATGTTTACCATCGGGACATGTGTTAAGTTTTAATTATAATACTTTAGAATATCAACAGTCTGTGCCAACTTGAATTAGTCATTAGTCTTGGTGTTAAATTAGTAAAAGGTCATTTAAAGATTATAGAAATTCTTCGCTAAGGAAAACACTGTATATAAAATCTCAATGACTGCAGCTAAGCGGCTTATCATAGCCTGCAAACTGTTAAATTAGAGGAAAGTTAAAAGCTCATGGCAACACTCACAAAAATCTAAAATCAATTCTATAATCCCATTTAGAACTATTTTAAAACCACTTTCCACCACCTTGTAAATATAAGTATTTGCGATTTCCGCTGGAATGGTTTTGATTACAATTTTCTGGTATGTTGAAGGTATTTTTCTAATTAATTTTTAATTACTCGAGAAAAAATCATAATTTCTTACTGAATACAGAAATGTAAAAAATATTAATAAAAAGGAGCCTAAAATTGATTGGTCGAATTTTTTTTATTTGTTTAGGGTTGTAATTGATCATCATTATTAGTGACGATATTCCTGTCAAACTCATCGAGAATGCAAACTTGTCGTAGACATAAATCCTGCAAAATTAAAGGCAGGAAATGAGTAAGTTAAAGCTGTGAGTCATTATATACAATTAAAATAACGTTTTTAGGTTGTTGATCTTGTTAAAAAAACGTTTACCGCACTTTAAAAATATTATACAGGATTATTCTTGGTGATGATTTGAAACTAGACAGAAGTTACATATTGAGAGTAAAAAATAAATTATTAGGATAGCAATTTTTTACCTGAAGCTTCATTGTAATAAACGTTGATCCTTTCTAATTGTAGATCACTGTCTCCTATATAAGTTCCTGAAGGATCGATTCCGTGTTCTGCAGATATTACTTCCCAAAACTGAAAAGAAAAACTTCACTTAATCATTTTATAATTACTTTTTTTATAGAAAATTGTCATTAGACTTTTGTCTTTTCGTTTTTTTCCACAGAAAAATCAAAATTTATAATTATTTGTAAAGTTAATATTTTGTATTAAACTTAACCGTTCAAATTGAGTAACTCACATTCAGCTGTCCAAGAGGGAGGGTTATTTATATAAAATTTCATTCTGTTACACAGCTTTTGAAAATTTGATGATATTTGCTTAGTCAACATTGAAAAAAAGGAAATAATAATAATACTCTCCCTAATTCACCCCCTTATGAGTGAATTTCAACCCCTGAAGTCGACTAAACGACTTGTGCAGGAGAAGGGACGGATATTATTATTATAATTATTTGCCGTGGCGCTCCGGGGCGACTTAAAGATGATTGATGGTGCCATTTGACTTACAGGTGAGGAAAATCCGGAAAACCTCACCCACCATCATCGAGACGGTAATGCAAGGTGATTTTATAATCTGTTACATCAGTAAAATCAGTCAAAATTGCAATTATCGCCGAAAGCTTTCTCTGACTTATCAGACAAAACAAGGGATGTGTCATGTCATCAGCATATATTGAAAAATCTGATGTGTCCAACACATGACTTTCCTATCTAGTTATTATAGGCTTTTTCCGGTTATTTTGTACAACCTATTGCAGCATCTCTATAAATGTTTAGAGGATAAACTAAATATATACATTGTCCACATACATCTACCTCGAAACATTTTTCTATAGATATTCATGGAAAACGAAAATACTGAAAAATTTAATTTCCTACAATTTTTTCATTACGGTCCATTTTATAAAAATCATGTAAAAACAAAAATTATAGAGATCGATATCGCAAACAACTTTTATTTCAAAAACTTTCATAAAAATCAGAATTTTGCACATTTTGTCAAATTTCTCGAATACGGACCATTTCAGGAAATTTTTACATAAAACAAAAAATTATAGATAATAATATTAGAAGTAACTTTTATTTGAACAATTTTTTTCTCCACACATTAATAACAGATATATTCCATAAAATATAAAAGTGGCCTCCCATAAAGTACCCCCCCAGATGTTCCGACTATGTCCAAAATATAATCATTTCACGTTAGACCGAAATAAACCTTAAGTTTAAAATTTAATGTTTTTTTCTTTATCCGTTTTTGAGTTTTCTTCAAAATTCAAAATTTACACATTTTCTCAAATATCTCGAATACGGTCCATTTTAGAGAAATAATGTATGAAATAAAAATTAAAGAGAATTATATTACAAACAACTTTTATTTGAACAATTTTTATAAAAAATTATTTTTTTACATTTTGTCAAATTTCTCGAATACGGACCATTTTAGGAAAATTTTGCATGAAACAAAAATTATAGATAATTATATTAGAAGTAACTTTTATTTGAAGAATTTTCTTCTCCAAACGTAAATAACATATATATTCCATAAAATATAAAAATGACTACCTATAAAGTACCCCCCCAGATGTTCCGACTCTGCCCAAAATCTAATCAGCTCATTGGACGCTGAAACAAAGCTTAAGTTTAAAATTTGGTGTTTTTCTGTGTATTGGTTCATGAGTTATGCGTTATACAGACACACACACAGACAGACACACACACACACAGACATCATCGCGAAAATAGTCAAAACGGATTCAGGGGACCTCAAAACGTAAAAATCCGTCGAAAACTCGAGGTCGAAAAAAATCATGATTCCTATACTTTCCTTATATCTGTATACAGATAGGAAAGTAAAAATATGCAGGTATGGGCATTTTATTTAAGTAATTAAGTAATTTATAAACAAAATAAACAGTATAGGGCCCGGAATGGAGCCATGTGGAACACCAAGATTATTTTACTTCTATTTCCATGAAATATTTTCGATATTTATAAGTTGTATCCGATTAACCATAAAATCTTTAATCCAATTTAGTACTTGAGGGCAATTCTGTGTATTCCATCAATACAGGATGATTTTTTTAAAATCTCTTTTCATAGTAAGATGTATATCAGAAAAGGCAAGTTTTAAAAATAACTTCAATTATACAGGGTTCTCCAAGAAAATGATACTTATCAAAGTTAGGTTTTTTAAATGGAACACCCTGTATTTTATTTTATACTTGAATTGCCCTCGCTTTTTCCATTATAACAATACCAAACAGTATGAGATTATACAGGGTATTTCACACACTATAACCAGTTTAATATAAAAATTGCATTAGATTTAATAACCTGTATAGTGCAGAAGAAACAATTGAAAACAAATTTTTTCGCTATAAAATGTTTTTTATATTAGTCAACATTTATGCTGATGCACTACAATTAGAAACAAATTTGTACATGGTGAGTCAAAACACTCAAATACAGTCTGTTCGCTGTACTTACGCGGGTTTCGGATTAAAATTTTTATGAGTATTTCCAGGTAAGTACCCGAAAGTTTGACCTGTTCTTTGAGGAAATATCAACTGGTTAAATGAAATGAAAAATAATGTACAACTTTTTAATTAAATAATAATGGAGAATCTTTTGTATAATTGAGAGCAGAATTAAACTTCTTCATTAATGGAGTCTAATGTGGCTATTATAAACCTAATAATAATTTTATATTACACTTCACACTGTATAATAAGAGGGTTATTTAGCTCAAATAAAATATTTTCTAACATAAAAATTTGTTTCATGTAGAGAATTTCAAATGAAAAATAAAAAAATTGAACTTGCCAATAAAAATGAAAATCAGTAATTATCATCCAAAATATTATAATCGTCATCATCATCACTGTCATCACCATTAATTGTTATTATGATTGGACTTATTTCGTTTATTTTATTTTCACGAGTCCACCAATCTTCTATTAGTTTCTCGCACTTGGATATACAGTTCCGCCACACTTCTGGAGTTGCAATTGAAAGTGCTTTTCGCCAAGTTTCCCGAACTGCGTCGTCACTATAACCATCAGGCCCAATATGGTTGTCATAATATTGTTTTGCTATTCCCCATATATATTCGATTAGATTAAACTGGCAATGATACGGTGACAGACGTAAAACTTGATGACCGTAACTTTCAATAATCTGATCCACAACAAAGGTTTTCGGTTTTGTGTGTATATTTGCCAAGCGTTTTAATAGACCGTCAGATGGTGACCGATTTAGGTGCTCCATTTTCGCATGCAAGCCTCAAAGAGGGTTGAAAAATACATCGATGTAGAGTAGAATGAAAGAAAATTTACGAATGGCTCTTGGGGATAACACATGGAAAATTCGATTTTCCTTATCAGAAAAATTTTCCGACCCCAAAATGCAATTGTACATTCGGGTCATTCAAAAAAATATGTTTTTCGAACTAGTGACCACGTACGTTTTCATATATTCGATGGGCCTGTGTGGAAAAATCGGGCAAAAACTCGATTTTTCCTTAGAAGATTACACCCTTATTTTAACCCTTTAGCCACTTGCAACATTAAAGCCTTTGGTTTTCCGAAACCTAGTTCTATTAATTAATCATATAGTGAAAACGGCTTGCGTGGAAAAATGGGCAACAAATAACCTTTCGTTTTTGTTAGGGAAAATCGAATTTTCCATGTTTTATCCCCAGCAGCCACTCGTAAATTTTCTTTCATTCTACTTAAAATCGATGTACTTTTCAACCCTCTTCAAGGCTTGCATGCGAAAATGGGGCACCTAAACCTGTCACTATCTGACGGACTATAATTCTGATTTTACTATATATTGAGGAAATAGTATATGTTCCTTTGTCAACCATTCTTTAATTTTATCAACAGTCCAAGAATTCGTTGGACTTTTGTTTATTACTTCAGAATGGTAAGGTGTATTGTCTAAAATAATTACGCTGGGCTCACTTAAACCTGGGAGAAGTTTTTCATGCAACCATTTTACAAACATTTCTGTGTTCATATTATCGTGATAGTCACTGGATTTTGATTTAGATGAAAATATTAAATCAGCACCTTCTATAAAACCTGATTTCCCTCCTGCATGTAAAATTATGTGTCGCTTCCCTTCTCCATCGGTATGTTTGATAGACTTTACGTTATCATTTTGCCATATTCTCTTGGTTGCACCCCTAGAAAATATCCATGTTTCGTCTAAATATATAAAATTAGCCCTTACTTCTTTAAATTTAGAATATTTTCTTAGAAAGTTAATTCTCTTATGCACGACAGAACTTCTTTCACAAAGGGCCTTTCGTTATCCTCCTTTTGAAATTTGAAACTCAAGTTATTTATTACTTGCCATAGACTTGTTCTGCCAATGTCGTCAAATTTTCTATTTATTAATTCCGAGAGAATTGAATTTAAGGTCACATGTTCCTTGTTGGCCCTCATTCGATAAATGGTATCACGAATTTCAAATTTCTTTACATCTGGATTATCTTTCGTTTTCAATGATGGGCGAGTTTTGCGGTGATCTTCTTTCGGCAGTTCACTATTGTGATTTTGTAATACTCTTAATTTGGTTTCACTAATTCCTAAAGCATCGCATACGCGTTGTACAGACATTACAGATTTTAAAGGACCGCCATTTTCTTTTTCATCTGTAAAATACTTATGTACACTATAAATTAGACTATCTACATCTAACACACGTCTAGGCATTTTTAAAATTTCCACTAAATTTACAATATACATACAATGTCAACACTTGCAAAGAATCAATTCAACTGGAATATTTGTAACAAATTTAGTACCTACCCTTATGTTATTTTAATTTAAATCTGACCATTAGGGCAATTTTACCTAATTTCTTGGGAAGAGGCTTGGAACTGGTTGTCAATGACTAATTTGCATAATTTTGTTAATCCGAAACCTGCGTAAGTATAGCGAACAGAATATACATCATTTTCTCAGTTTTTTTTTTTCAATTGACCACTCTGTATTTTATATCACCATTTAAAAGAACCTTAATTAAAGTTTCATTTGAGTTAAGCATTCCCTCTACCTATAA